GAGACTACGTCAAAATTACAGAATATATAGATTCTTACGCACCTTTCAAAATTCTGCTTGTTGGCACTTCTATAAACCTGCAGTTTTTCATAAATTTGCGTTTGAATTTCAACAATTGGCGCTCCTCGAAATTCGAAACCCGCCATTTTGTTTCCCTGGAAACTTGATGTAAGATGCATTGAAAAGGTGCTCACTATTGGAAACTTTATGTAATAATATTAAGAGGCAATTTTTTTCAATGCCACGTATTTGCAATGAAAAGTGTTCAAAACCTAAAATCTTTTTGGCTTTCCTCTCAAAATCACTTTGTTTGTGTTTTATTCTCTAGTTTATAGAGTTAGCTACCTTTTTAAATGCATCTGCCGGTTGAGAAACATAAAATAATAGTTAAAAATTGTCAATTAAAATACAAATATTAATGATGCTTTAAAATTGACGCCATATTGTTAACATATTTACAGCCATATAACCAAAACTTACTGAACTTCACACATAATTTTCTCTTTGGCGTATCATCTAAAATCTCTTCATTTTGGCATTATTTTACAGATAAAGCACTAAAACATACTTTTTAAGTTTGTTTGCCGATTGAGAAATGTATCGAAAAATAAAAATTTTGAATTTAGTCATAACCTCAAGCGACTGATATATTATACGCATTAGTTTTGAGCGCGTGTTACGTAACATACAAAAAAATCTCCTCTTAATAAATATCACCGGCACTTACCTCATTCTGTGAGTACGGCGTTCTCTTCATTCCACTCACAACTGTGTTCCACGTTCGCGCGGCAAGCATACAAGAAAAGATTCCGTAATATTCACCAACATCCATCTTCTCGCTGTACCGTTTAATACCTTCTAAATTTGCTGAGATAATAGCTTGCCATAGTTTGCAGTAGTTCACTCGAAAATCATCAGTTATTTCCTATAGAGTTGATATTGATAAATTTGGTATGTATTACAAAATTTTGAACGGTTTGTGCCAGGGTAGGTATATTGCTAATAATAAGAAAACTTGATTGATAGGGATACAAATATTTTTATAATTGAGGTTCTTAAGGCCCGTTTACACGGGCGATTTTTGCTGCGATTTTAGTTGCGACTTTCTCCTTTTGGAGGATGTGAAGGACTAGATTACTTAATGATGTTGTTATGAGATTTCATAATCTGGAAAATTTATAACTGATCTACTCCTTCGCATGCTCCAAAAGGAGAAAATCGCAACTGAAATCGCAGCAAAAATCGCCCGTGTAAACGGGCCTTTATACTTCCATGCATCTTTGAAAAAATCGCAACAGATAACAAAGTCTGAGGTTTACTGTTAATCGGCAATTGTTCAAAGGCATTTGAACTTAAAATTGGACCGTGTCCTCATTTACATTAGTAATTATCATCTTTGAGGCGGATACAATCGTCGTATAGTGCGCGGGTCATTCTGGCGTATGAAAAAGACTGCTGACGCCGCGCTAATGGTGAAATTAGAGATGCAAGATGTCTAAAGGCCTGTCAGAGTTCGTAGTCTCCAAGACCAAAACAATTCAAAGACTTTCAAAGATTTTTTCTGCCTATTTTCAAAGACTTTTCAAAGCCCTTTGAGAGCAATCAGCTGTCGAAAAATTGCGAGTGTAAGCCTGGTGCAAGCACCATTTTTACACAGTAATTAGTCCAGTCAAATCACATCCTAAAATGCGTCTTTTTGTCGATATTTGCAAAAATCTTGCTTCAATCAATCTATTTTATTAGCTAGAAAATCGTATAATCAATTCCTCACTAAAGAATTTAAAGATTTTTAAAGACTTTCTTCGCTTTTTCACACAATTCAAAGACTTTTCAAAGACCTTAAAGACCTGCATTCAAATTTAAAGACTTTCAAGGATTTCAAAGACCGCTACAAACCCTGCCTGTTTACACTTCGTCTTCTGATGCATGTGAACGAGTAGATGAGTATGAATGTTCCGAGTATATGTACCTTCATCTCGACATTCTTAAATCTTCCACTCGTTCACATCCATCAGAAGAAGAAAATCGCACCTAAAATCGCAGCAAAAATTGCAAGTGTAAAACAGACCTTAAGTGTTTTTTTGTTCACTTATACCAGTTTTTGTAAAGAAACCTTTGTACCAACAATACTGACCTGATAAAGTCCGTGATCCAACAAGACAATTTCCACAACCCCCCTGGTGTTCTTTCGTATTAATATATTTCCTGGGTGGGGATCGCAATGAATGCAACCTTGTACAAATATCATCTCACTGTAGATTTGACCAACCTTACTAGAGACCTTGGGTAAAAAGAGATAAAAAAGCTGATGCAATTCTCGCGTCTATGCACAATGTGTAACTAAATGTTCTTTTTTCGAAAATAAATTAGATAATGAACAGTCTTGATTACGAACAACTGAAGAATCTCCTAAGTCTATAAACTTGTATTTTGTGGTGTTTACCTCATCTGATGAAATGTCATGTCCTCGCATGTACTCCAAATCATTTACATGCCCTCCTTCACAATATTCCATCGTGAGAATTCTCTTGCTAGAGAACTCCCAGAAAACCTTGGGAATCTACAAAAATTTACCGGTACTTAGACGAGAAAATGAGGAAAGAATTAAAGAGAAGCGGTAGGTGTATTAAAAACATCAAGAAACAAGGAAATATATTAGGTCTGTAGGAATCATCCTAAAAACAATATAAAACTTGTACAAATAATTTAAAAACCTTTAAAAACTTTAATCGTGAAAACTTCTCTTGAAGTTTCTCAGAGTTCTTGCCCTCATTGAGAAAATCTAACTCAAGCGGCAGGTTCCTCTTCGTCTCTTCAACTAGCCAGGTAAATTGAAATTCAGGAAACACTCGCTTCACAATGTTCACTAAAAACTTGGACAATAAATCAATCAATCAAATAGATCATTACCATGGCCATATTATGGATAAACTATCATGATTAATTGAATCAGCGAGTTGGTTTAGCGGAAGGGTGCGGTAATTCGCGTAATCACATAGGAGAGGTACAGCAATATTAAGATCTACTAGTTCTTCGTTTCCAGTCGAGAACCATGTAGGTACACGGAACTATTGTTATCTGCGTATTAGCCTGCGAACAGGTCCTCCTGGGTTACGAGCAGGCTTTCACTGGGTTAACCCATTTTGATGGTACACCAATTATAAACTTTCCAAGCCCAAGGTATTCAAAACCGTAGTTTAGTCAGTAGAATATATATATGTCTGCTCAGTATATGTCTTGGCATGAAACATGATTGGACTGATGAAAGGAATGTTGAAGTCGATTGTAGTGTTTGTATACCGGTAATGCAATTGTGCTTCTTGTTCTAACTCTTGTTCTAACTGTAATTTGAATACCTTTCAGAAACCTGTACTTTATGTACTTTATTTTAAAGTACTATTTAAAACATGAGCAGCAGTGTTTTATGAGATATAAAGATACGAGGCGAAGCAGAGTATCTTTAGGTCTGATAAAACACGCACTGCGAATGTTTTAAATTGCTTCAAAAACCATCGATCTAGTAAGTTCATTGGCGAAGTAATTTTCAAAAAATACGTTGTGTAAGTAGAGTTCTTTTGTATTTCAAAAAATACGTTGCGTAAATCAAAGTTAAAGTTTATGTAAATTAAAAGAAATCTCTATCACATATAACGATACGACAAGCTTGAAGCTTATGATTTTTGTGTTTTCCTCATCAATTATTAATAAGGTTTTGAAGACTATGTACACATTGAGTAGTGGGTCATACTAGTGCAAGTACGCGGCAATAATCATTGGGGTACCCGAGTCAGGTACGCCTGAAAGTCTTGAATTATCACACCCTTGTCAGTCTGTCAGTCGGTTGGCCAGTCAGTAATGGTTTGTGATATTTTTATATAAACTTTGCAGTCAGAGACCAAATTTATTCAATAGTCTTTACATGCATACTTCCATAGTCTTGACATCACTTGAAGAATGATCTTGGATATCTTTGTGTTGAACTTTGACAGCAACAGTACCACCATCTTTTAAAACAGCTTTATGAACCTGTGCCAAGGACGCTGACCCTAATACATATGGCAAAAATATCATAAGAGGCTAAATAATACAAAGACAGATCAGGGCTTGCACTAGTTGAAGAGGAGTTTCTATGGAGAAGGGAGGTGGTGCCAACTAGGTATGTTTGATATGATTAAGTAATAAACTGATAGTTCAAAACTTGATACTTTAAAACTTAATCTGGATAAATTCTATTCTTTGTAAATATACAAATATAGTTAACCTTTCATCAAGTGGCAATGCACCCTGATGCACCCTACTGTCCAATGCCAAATGATTTTACTTGTCAAGGGGAGAGTGCTGGCACTTAATGGGTTAGTCAGACCAGTGGCGGAAATTCACTTTTTCCGGTGGGGGCAAAGCCTTCTAAATTTCTGACAAAACTTTCAACACTCGAAAAGACTGTTTTTAGCCCTCTTTTAGGTCAAAATCAGCCCCGCCCCACCAAGATTTCCGCCACTGAGTCAGACTATCTGCCCATACATCTAGTTAACCGATTGAGCTGCATTGCACCCTAATGCAAGGGGAGAGCACTGTTGCTCAATAGGTTAAAATACAATATGATAGTGGTCTTCCATTTACTGAAAAAGACATACGGACATGCTGACATTGGATTGAGTACCAGCATTTTCAGTATATTGGTTTACTGAATATTCCTAGTGCCAACTTTCTCTAGGGAACATAAGATGAACACATGTGGAAATGAGTGGAAGTTACATTACATGTTTTATCTTCATGAATTGCAAATATAAATCTGTGAGTTGTATGACATAAATTTTAAACAATATCCCATACCAAGTGGTTCAACATCAAAACTTTCAAACAATTCATCCGGCATTTGACCAAGCTCATGCTGGAACACATGATGTATATCTTCCAATGAACTTCTAGGAGCTGTGTGATGGAAAATTTTAAGAACCCGAGTATACTCCTTTGGCAGTAAGTAGTCGAGAGACCCCAAATGCTGTCCAATCTTTATGTACAATCCAGCATTATGAAAACACAGATCACATAACCTCTTGGCAGATCTACTGTGCACCTTAGAAGGTTAGAAAAAGAGCACTGCATCATAGTCTGACAATTGTATGACAATCCAAAAATACATTTGAATTTGACCATTTTAACCATAAATTCAACTTTTGACTGTTTTTATATTGCATTCAAATACTGAACCATTTTATATCAGTATACATTTGAATATTGGTTCATTCCACAAAACATCCACACCTCATCCAAGGAAGACATTCCTCCCCCCCCCCCTTCACCTAATTCGCTGGAAACTTGGAAACCCCTTCACCTAATTCCCTGGAAACTTGGAAATGCTGCTATAGAAGAAGCTACTTTTGGTATACATTTACATAATAGACATTTTTCAGTTTGCAATTCAAACATTTGTGATCATCCAATACCTGTGACTGCAATTCTTTATATAGTTCAGATGTCTTATCCAATTTCCACAAGGTCTTCTTGTAATCATAACTTATTTGAAGAACCTGAATTTCACAGATATTAATTTAACATGCATTCCCAAAGCACTGTAACTATAAGTAGTATGATAATTTTGTAATAAAATTGAAGCAATGTAAATCCTCTATTAATACCCTGTAATTTATTAATTACACACATAATTGAGGGCATTGTCAGAGAGGTGGCTAATAGATGATTTACAGAATACAGAGAATACTAGCATGACCTTCTGTATATTTCATATTTGTAACCCAGTGTGGAAAGTTTGTATCGCGCGGCAGAGATATCAGTTGCGCAATTTTGACGCTTTCTATAGATTTACTATTAAATTTTCAAAATCTCTGACAAGCAATTTCCAAACTTTCCAGTCAGGTAATTGTAACCAGTTGAATTGTTGTGTAATTATGATTCTGTATAAATAAAATCAATATTACTATTGTTTTTAATCCATATCTTGGATTTTAAGATACTTGTCTTCGGATGGCGTCTTATTTCAATTTTTTTCAAAATTGCGGATGGTATTGGCCTGTATAATAGAAATTTGTACATTTTGTGTACTTTGGTATTTGCAAGACGCAAGTTCAAAGACAAAGATGTTTTGCAAGGTGTGCTAACTTTCTCCAAACTATAACTTCGCCTTATCTCAACCACTTCCTAATACTTACCGTTAAAGCAGTCCTTGTAAACCTTACAACACCTTGTCCCGTCTGACGAGCTTCTTTCACACCGCCAAAAAAATACACGATACCACTGCCCGTCGCCATAAAGGTCACAATTGAACCTATTACAAGGCCTTTTCTTTTCATTTTTAAAAAGCCGAATGAAAGTGAAGTTAATGCAGGTATTTACCAGCAAGAAACCATTAATTGTTTGCGAAACAAAAAGCAGAAATGCAAAGTTAAAATACTACATTTCATGATATATTTTTGCTGTCAAAAACTCAGCCATATTGGCGAGCCTGCTACTAGCCAGCGGTGAAATATTTGAAATACTTCATTTATTTGTGCATGTAGTGAATTTCCGTCGTCAAAACGTTGTTCTTGAAGATTGGTTTAGAAACAAACTTGGAGTAGGGTTAGGTTAGGGATAGGATTAGGGGATAGGATTAGAGTTGGTGTTTGGAATAGGGTTAGTGTTAGTAAAACCGTTGCTTTGTTACGTTTTGTCACTTTGAGGCCAGCGAAATAACCTCTTCCTCTAAGCATGTCAAGCATGGACATCAACAATCGCAACATTGTTTATGAAGAGCATTAAAAAGTTTAATCTAGCTCAGCCAATCATCGTAAGCCTAGTTACACGTGATTAGATGAAACCCTGATGAAACCTTCAATGTCCCGTTCAGCTCCCGTAGTGGTTAAAAGCTTTGAACTAAAAAATGAAGTGTCTACGAAACGTTAACTCCACTTCTTTGATTTTGACAACGTGAAGTTTCACGCGTCATGCTGCAACAGTGTTCACGGAGCATGCGCGAAAGTTGTTCTCTTTCGACTTTAAGAAATTCGATTTCACTTTCCAGCAAACTGTTCGCTTCTTCAATTGTTTCAGCTTCCTATACGTAAATTCGTAAAAGCGTAGATTAATTTTACAGATCAACAATTAGATGGCTAGAAATCATATTCAATATCCATAAAATAATTTTGAGGGTTTAATTAAACACAGAGCCAATACCTGGCTAAGATGGACCAGCTGTTCACGCCGTCTTTTTCGACATTTTTGCGCAGACAATCGATTGCGTTCTCTTCGTGTGTTTATCTTCTCTATCTCTTCAGCCGATAACTATTAAATAAAGCATTAAAAGTTTCACAGTACTAACACAAGTCCTGTAGCACACAGTCACAGAGAAAAGTGCAGCATTAAAGTCATTAAAGCTTTTGTGGTTTGCGTCATAACTGGGAACTACCAGAAAAACACCATATCGAGAAATCGTTCGTCGACTTGGCCAATCTCGAACCCGAGCCTGCAATCCTCTGTGGAGGCTTGCTTAGGATTGCAGGCTCTGGTTTCGAGATTGCGACTTGGCTTCAACATGAGCTGGGGCGTGTTAGACACGTTTTACGACAATCTTAAAGCCACAGATTTTGTATATTTCATGTCATAGATGCAATAACATTAAGAGGTTACGTCTCCCAATGTTGTAAGAAAGCTAAAAAATATCATAATTAGCAGCGATTGTATTTGGAGCGTGTTTTCCTCCAAAATGGCCGCCATGTCTTTGACTCATAATCTCAAAGGATTGATTGCAAAGCACCAATAAGAGATGTAGTTAAATTATCTAGTGTTCCAGTCAGTTTCAGCACTTCTATAGAGCTAACTACCATAATTTTAGAAGACTTAGAATACCATCTACACAGATGCTCACATTTGAAAATACCTCAGTACTTTTCGTTTCCTCTTCATCAGGTAGTTCAACAGAACCTAGTCCTTTTGCTTCGCGCCTTGATTGAATAGTTTTACGTAATTCTGTCTTCACCATAGCGACGTCTCCGGCAACGTCGTCGGGGTTATGGTTGTGAGCCATGCGCAGTACACACCTTTGACTTTCTTGTGTTTTCATTCTAAGAGATTCACTATTTTAAAACAAAAAGGAATTATTTGACTTGCCAGAGATAACTCGCGGTGCTTTGTCGAGTCAACAGGAACTAATTTTCTCACATGTGACTGAAGCAAAGTTCTAATCACTCAATTAGTTCATTGCTTATTACAGAAATGAAAGCAAGCACGGGTGTACGTTTTTAAGTATAAGCAGGGCCCTGGTTTATAAAAAGATGCTAGTTTGTTCCGTCACCAGAAAATATGAAAATGCGTAGAAATTTAGGCATGGAAATGACTGTCTAGTCCACCGGAGTCGCCTAAATTGCAAACAACTGAAAATCTGGAATCATACAGCACAAAAATACGTTAAACATACTCTAATATTCTACAGCTTAGTGTTGTAAAAGCATGCTATATTCTAAATTTGAGACATTCGCGTTCAAAATTTACGCACACCCAATGTGGTACGACCAAGTTCAACTGATAGGAATAGATACGTAAACGGAATTGATCTTCGATATATAAGATTATATGTTTGTAAATCGCATGAAGATTTGTCCTGATTTACCTGATAAACTTCAGTTTTGATTTTAAAACTCGGCTTAGACAATGTTTATTTTTAAAATTACTTCGCCAATGAACTCATAAGATGGGTCGTTTTATAAGCACGATAAAACATTCGCATCCGATCTGGCGATCTGTATCTGATATACATGCAAACTCTCGCCTTCGGCTCGAGTTTGTATATCAGATACAGATCGGCTGCTCATGTTTTATCTAGTACATAGATGTTCGTGAACTGTTTTGTACTTTTGTTTCAACATGATAGGAATAGCCGAACTGATAGACATGAGAGTATATTGAAGTAACCGTAAACTAAGCCATAAAGTTCTTAATCTCTTACAAAAATATATGCCAGTAAATAACTCTAAAACAGCTCATAAACAGCAATAAGAGTGCTAAGCAATTTTGAGAAATACAAGAGAACACTTACAATTCTAATTTTTTCACTTTTGATCGTTTTTCATTCGTGTATGTTTCTCTTTTCCATACAGCTAGCCAGTCTTTTGGAATCTCGACTTTCACTCCACCAAGCCGATGGAGAAACTCTACTGACATTCGATGACCCTGGAACTTCCGTTTTCATTTGACTTTAAGCAGCTAAGCAAACTGCGACCCCCTTGTCGAAGGATAGAAACTACTTAAATAATTATAAGTTCCCGAAAGTCGAGTGGCGTGGTTTTTTTGTCACGAAATAACACGCGATCAATTCTGCGCTCACTAGCAAGTATTTTAATTCATAACAACGTTCGAGCTAAAGGCTCCCTTGTAAAAGACTACATTTTGCGCAAAAAATACTAAAATCTTGACTAAAATGTTTTGAAAGATTTGCGCCAGTGTATGTTATTACTTTTGATAATTGACATTAAAGTGTGATAATAAGATATCCCTGATTATTTTACGGACGAGTAATGCGATTATATAATTATACGTTTTCATAAGACATTGCCCAAAGGCGAAAGCGCAATTATTGTCGATTATCTCTGATAATAAAATACGTAAACCCTAAATCTGTCATTAACCTTTCCCTATTAAATAACCCCCCTCCCATATCCCATATGAAGTTATCATATCACACTATTATGTCACTATACTTGGAAAAGGTAAAACCTGATGCATGCGTTATAGTTTTGGCTCCCTAAACTCTTTGACTCTTTCTAATAAAACTGTTCCACAAAATAGGTGGAGGATTAGACTATGGAAACTGTGTCATTAATATTACTGATGCTAGTCCTGGGCTATTGTTCATCTTAGAACATTCAATGAATATGTTGACTGCATGGTAGACATCCTTGTTTGGCACAGCTTTTGACCCATGATCATTGTTTACATGTTGAACAAGCTTACAGTTGCTTGGAGGTGACCCATTTAGTATGTGCGCAACTAGGGGGGGGGGGGGAGCATAGTTTCCTTCGCAGGGTTGGATCAATACGAACGTCCGCGAAGGAAACTAGAGGGAGTAATTTTTTCAGTTATTCTGTTTTTGCGTAAGCCTATTGTTTTTAATTGACGTCATTTCTATTGTTCTTTGCGTACAAAGGGTAGGAAAAGGGTAAAATTTTCGAAAACGCTTGCATACTAAGTGGGTGGTCCTCGTATTGTAGCATGTGTTTCTGCATGCTTGCAAGACATTTGTTTTGAAGCTCTGCAAAACTCCGCATCCATTTTTCACTGGATAGAACAAACAGTACTTTTATTCTGCTGAATTGACGAAGGCAAACGTGAATGTCTGTTCTGCCTCAAAAGATCCAAGACCTAAAGAACGAAATTGAGAAGTTGTACATTTCTTTTCTCCAGCAAAATCGCACATTCATAGTTTATTTCATCAAATTAATTTATACTTTATCAAGGGAAGGTAAAATATCTTTACAAACAGTATTCTTCCAGATGGTTTCATTAAACGTGGAATATTTCAAATTAAAATTGCAAGAAAGTTTTACAGGCAAAGTCTAGAAAGCCTCTAGCAAGTCTAGGTGTAGTAGGGTATTGTTATTTCATTCAAAATAAAGTAGCTTTAAGAGATTTTTAAAATCTTGTCAGCGACTTGTTTTAGATATCTTTCAAATGGTTTGGGAAAGAGTTAAATAACATTGCCCCACAGTAAGATATCCCCCTTTCGCGTACGGGCCGCCGAGTTCAGCCTATGCAATCCAGTGAATCGTTGCAGAGTGAACGCGATTACACTCAGTCACAGAGTAACTATATACAGAGGTCTCACTTCAGGTTAATTTAGCGTAAGGGATTTTTTCAGTCCTCCATGTTCTTAGCAAGGCCGTTACCCCCTGAAAAGATATTGAAATTTATTGTTCCAGGGGGTGAATGTCTCTCTTTAATTAAAGCATTTGCTAAGAACATAAGACTAACATAGCCGTCATGCAGATATGGGCCGATATGCGCAGTAAAAACTACCTTAAGGTTTTCCCGCAGAAGTGCGACATCTGTATGTACTAACTCTGTGACTCAGTGCGCGGGTCCGGTTTTATATACTATTCGCATGCGGTTCACTTGCGATTGAACAGCATTTTTTTGTTAGGTTTTGCATATACATATATATTGTTGCAAATATGATACAAAGAAAGTCACAAACCTGTAAACATTCGAAAAAATCGATCGTATTTGTGTTGTCTTCGTCGATTTCTTTTAAGATATCGAGAACTTGTTGTTTTGTAAACATTGTTTTACCGTTGTCTAACATTTTTTCAAGCTCTTCTGCATCAATAGTCTACACGAAAGTTTAATACATTAACTGAATTTAATATGTGAACTAATGACGTAATACAGCATTGTTCGGCCATACTAAATTGTCCTAAACTTAGTAAAGGTAAAATTGAAAGGCGCGCGCAAATATGGGAAAGGGATGCACTATTAAGGTCCAGACACACAGGCCGGACGCGATTCGACAACGCGACGCGATTTTTCAATTTTCACTGACCGATAACTTTGATCCTAGCCAAATATTTAGAAGCGTTATAACATTTTGAGTTATCTGGTCTACATATCTTTCAAAATTTGCTCTTATTGACTTTCAAAAACTAAAAAATCGTGTCGCGTTGTCGAATCGCGTCCGGTGTGTCTGAATCTTAAGTCCAAATACACGTCTTGTCGATTTATCAAAGTTATTTGAACGACAATGAAGGTCACTGTAGCAGTAGCCTGAGTATCAGCCTTATCAGGCCACTTTCTCGTCCTTACATGCAGGTGGATGGAAGGGAATGTAGGTGGATGGAAAGGAATGTAGGTGGATGGAAGGGAAACTTGGGACTGAGCTCACCGCATGCAAATGAATAAAATGAGGATAACCTGCACTTACCCCGTCTCTATTTACGTCAGCTTCCACAAATTTTGTTTCAGCGGCAAGTACAGTTGCAAGAGGTATTTCTGGAAATTTCTCCGCTATTCTCTGAAAATCGTAGAAACAATCAACTATTAAACGCGGTAATATCATCAATATTAATGTCATCGTATCAATATTAGTGATGCCGTTAACAGAATCACTGATGATGCATTTTGACAGATAATCCGTCTGATAGTATAAATTTATGGCCTACAATGA